CCATAAGTCATTAGTTTAAATTTTTTTTCGACGCTGTAAGCTTGGAAGTGCACAAATTCGTCATTTTAAGAGGGCTCGAGAACGTTCGTTGTTAAAAAAAAGTTGATTATATTGTATAGAATTTTTTTCTCACTATCCAAATTTTGCCGCCCCCCAAAATTTGCCGCCCTGGGCAGTAGCCCCGATTGCCCCTACTGTAAATCCAGCACTGCATATATATTACATAAACTAGCATGGCATCGTGCCTTAAGGCAAATTGCTGCAGCTTCCCGTACTAATAATTATTTTCTTTTAAAAAGATTAACATTTTTGAATAAATTTTACTTTGAAAAAATTAGATTTTTGAGAAACTATAAAATTTTGACAAAACTTTACCTTTTCTGAAAAAAAAAGACTTTTTGAAAAAAATTTTTTTCTTTATTTTGAAATATTTTGAAAATTCTGAACTTTTTTTCAAAGCAATCGTACTGCATTAACTGCATAGAGACGAAATATAGAAGCGCGTAAGCGCCGCGTCGCCGTCTAACGAATAAACATTGGTACGGAACCGACAGGATTGTAAACAAAATTTATAGTGCAGTAAACGGAGAGGAAAAAAGGGTATAACCTCTGAATTTTTTTACTGTGCTCCGAATTAAATGAAATTTTGAAATTAGGTTCATCTTACCCTCAAGTTCAAAAGTGAAAACAATTCGGGTTGCGCCATCACCCCCCGGGGGGATAACACCCCTTCTCAATTGTGTAATTACATTTTTTTCAAAATAACGGCGGAAATCGATAGAAAAACTAATTATAAGAAAAAAATGTCTTTTATAGTTTTTCAAAAAAACTAATACTTTTCAAGTTACTGGCCATTAAAGATTCATATATTTTTGGCGTATTTTCTTCGTTTTTTGCAAATATCACTTAAAAGATACATTTGAATGAAAATCATGTAATGAACAATATAATGTCAATAAAAATCTTAATAAATCGGTATTACATGAAGTGTTCTAGAAAAAATATTAAACAAGATTTGAAAGAGCAAAGTCGTTTTTTATTTCGTTTAAGATTTAATTGTTGTATTTAAAGCCATCTAGTGTCGAGGTTTTACATTTTATGCATTTCGGTCAAATTGGGTTTTATAGTGCTCAACATAAGCTTTGAAATGAGTGCTGTTACAAGTTTTTTTTCGTGTAAAATGAGTTAGCTATCATGCAAATAAGAAGCATATACGAAGTTTTTTTCTTATAAATCATGTGGTTTAATAAGCGCCGTTTCTACCAGAATTGAAGTAATTCACATTCCATCTAGAATTCACTTCATTATAGACATCTTGATGGATTCTAGTAGATTCACTACTTTAGTACAAACTATTTTCAGAAAACTCACGATTTTATAAAAACTTTTTTTTCCAATTTGCGCGTCCGCGCAGTCTTTAAACATTCATAACAATTTTTGTGTGAGAGAAAAATAATAAAAAACAATAATAAACCAGAAAGATTTCTTTGATTTTTATCTATATGCTTTTATACGTATCTTTTATTATTTCTGAGATATAATGAAAATAATTTCGATTTTTAAAAAAATTGGAAAATTTTTTTTTATAAAATCGTGTGTTTTCTGAAAATAGTTTGTACTAAAGTAGTGAATCTGCTAGAATCCATTAAGATGTCTATAATGAAGTGAATTCTGGTTGGAAGGTGAACTACTTTAATTCTGGTGGAAATGGCGCTCATTAAACCATATGATTTAAAAGAAAAAAACTTCGTATATGCTTCTTTTTTGCATGATAGCTCACTCATTTTACACGCAAAAAACTTGTAACAGCACTCATTTTAAAGCTTATGTTGAGCACTATAAAACCCAATTTGACCGAAATGCATAAAATGTAAAACCTCGCCACTAGATGGCTTTAAATACAACAATTAAATCTTGAACGAAATAAAAAACGTCTTTGCTCTTTCAAATCTTGCTTAATATTTTTCCTAGAACACTTTATGTAATACCGATTTATTAAGATTTTCATAGACATTATTTTGTTCATTACATGATTTTCATTCAAATGTATATTTTAGGAGATATTTGCAAAAAAAACGAAGAAAACGCCAAAAATATATGAATCTTTAGTGGCCAGTAACTTGAAAAGTATTAGTTTTTTTGAAAAACTATAAAATACATTTTTTTCTTATAATTAGTTTTTCTATCGATTTCCGACGTTATTCTGAAAAAATGTAATCACACAAATGAGAGGGGAGTGTCATCCCCCCGGGGGGTGATGGCGCAACCCGAATTGTTTTCACTTTTGAACTTGAGGGTAAGATGAACCTAATTCCAAAATTTTATTCAATTCGGAGAACAGTAAAAAAATTCAGACCGAAAACGCTCCGTTTACTGCACTATTATACTTACTGTTAAAATCTCTATAAAATATCAAATAATTTGATGTGAATATGTCTAGTTATCATTTTTGACCGCCAAATGGCATTTTTTTTTACTTTTTTCATTAGATCTCCGAAACTGCTAGATCTGCCTTTGCCAAAAACTAATCAGCACGTCTCCTTATCAATACAAATCGAATGTTTTTTGAATTATTCAAATCGATTGATCGGCGTACCCGAAATCACGACGAAAATTTGTATCCGCACATACACACACACACACACATACATCCATTTTTTTAAGGTATGCCAAAATATTCAGAAACCTCTGAAATGTAAAGATATATAAAAATTTTCATTTTCGATTTTTTTGCGATTACTATAACTTGCCCTACGGGAAGTTAATAAAAATGGCTTGCGATTTTTCGGAATATTTCGTTTCATGAGCATATGCATGCATATACTGCGCGAACGAAAAAATGATGCATTTGAAATGAAATATGTTCATTATTCTAACAGTAAGTCGCTTAATCAGATTTTTTCATTATTATCAATATATTTCATTCAAACATATATAAACAACGTCGTCTAATTTTGAATTAGGTTCGGTCGTTTTTGAGAAAACGTCGACGAAAAGTCTAAAATCCGCTCACAAACACACACACATACTTTTTCCATATATGTATATTCATATATAGTCAACCAATTCGTAATTAATTATGCCTGGATTAGAGACTGCGTATTTACCTATTACGTTACGATGCATTTCAGGTCTTCTTTTCTCTTTCTTTCGACCAATCGCGTTGAAACACATAACATGTGTTTTAAGTGGGGAAAGCAAATTGTGTATTGTGTCAGAATTTGACGTATTACATCAGAAAATATGTAGTGGAAACAAAAATGAAATTTCTTAGTTGTTTTGAAGCAACATACTTAAGCTCTACATGCTTTTGCATAATCGTAAATAAAAACAAATATGCTATAGCAATTCAAAGATTATTAAAATGAGTGAGCCTATAATTATCACCATCCCAAGTTTTGTGAAGTATGAAAGTGATACAAGTAAAATGAACATCGGTGGAAATCTTTCTAATGGAAGAAAAAGGAGGTTGAATTTGACATGGGAAGAAAGAATTCAAAGAAAGTAAGTGTTTGAAGATAGATCAAAATTTTTTTTCGTGTATCTTTTACTGCGACACAAAAGATGATATCAAATAAATTAGTTTAAAATGATTATACATTTTACCACACATTTTCTGATGAAAGATCAAGTTCAGATTATAATATCATAATTTTTGCATTTCAATTATTTTGTTTACAGAAAACTTAAGAATAGAGTGGCCGCACAAACCTCCAGAGATCGAAAGAAAGCACAATTGGAAGAACTGACAGTGCAAGTTACCACATTGCAAGCAGAATGCAATAAATTAAAATCACTGAATGAGAAACTATTATACGAAAACTCCATTCTACATAGAAAACTTTCTGAGCAAACTTCTAATTCTACTACAATTGTCAGCTCTGAGCTCTTGAATAGACCAGCAGTGTCCATCACAACTCCTCTGCAGCAGGAGAATGCATCAGAGCTGGCAGTTGTAGCAGAAGGAAAAGTGAAGAATCAAAAATCGATAAGTCAGAGACAGAATCTATTATCAGTTCTTGCGGTTTTAACTTTCCTGATCTCTTACAAGTCATCGAATCAGAAGAATGCCTTGAAAGCATTGCCAACAATTTCTTGTCAGGAACCATCTTCGATGACTTTGCAAAGGTATAGATAATTTTAATTTTGCATAGACAGATATAGAATATGATGTATATTTAAACCTCTTTTATTGCATTTTAGGATTTTGCACAAGATACTAAAACACCCAAAGTTGAAGTGGTCCCTCCAGCACGGTCTTCATCAGAACGGTTGGAACATTCAACACATGAAGCCACAAATCATAAAATTAATGAAATACCAAATACAATAAAAATTGACATGGATATATTACAAGATCACAATGATAATAATATACAAAATACTACTTATGATGTGGATATATTGGAGTTGCCAGTAGATATAGATGAGCAGGTGGTAGAAATTACAAATGAAGGTGAACCTATTATTCGAGATGGTATTGTATCAATAGAAACTAATTCATCAAAATTAGATGAATCTTGCAATTCAGAGATCTTCAGGTTAAATGATGAAAAAAGTATTCATTTTGATAATGATTATTCAGATGTATCTAATCATTTTAGTAAATATTCAAACAATAAGTATAATGATAATGGTTATGAATCAATGGCATCACCTCAAAGTGAAACTTCTATTACAAGCAGTGAAAATTATTGGGATGATAGACTTTATGAATTGTTTCCAGATTTGGAATTCTAACAGTTTAAATATTTACTTAATATGAAATCATTCCTATTTTTATATTGATATTTTTATTATGAATAAGTTCATAATGGAAGTACCAATTGTTTAAGAATGCTATGCCATCATTCGCGCACCTTCTTAATATTAGTAATATAAGAAATCAAATTTAATTATGACAAATAATATATAATGTTTAGCATGTACATATTTATTTAAAGTATTTTGTATATTATTATTACATATTAAAAATAGCTTATCAAAGAAAATATATATAAAAAAAGAAATTTGTATGATTCTATTATGCCTCTTTAACGTTGACTTGTATCTCTAGAACGATACACAATTCCTCTACTTTTCATTTCTCTTATAACATTAGCTGGTAAACGACCTTGTACAGATATAGCGTAGATGCCCCTTGCACATCGAGCTATATAAAAAACGTTTTATAAAGCTTTCATGTTTTAAAAACAAGTTTAATGATATTCACTTACTTATTCTTTGCCATTTGCAGACCCAACTATCCTCAGGACTCATTACGGCAATCATACTAAAATTAAATTTTAATATAATTAGCAGTTTGCATAAGCCTTTTAATAATTGATAGCAAGCATTCAGGTGATCATACTAAAATTTTAAATATATTCTGATTGATATCGAACATTTAGAGTCATAGAAAAGCTTTGAGATATTTCAATTGAAATAAATTGATTCATCTGGTACAGAGTTTTTTAGTTCTTTCGTTCAGATTTTTTTATATTCGCATTATGTTTAATTTTGATGTAAGGTGTTACAAATATTGTGGAAATATAGCTGTACACAAATATTTCATATAATGATTGGATTTCTGAGTGGGCAATATAAATACACCAATCAATACTACAGCAAAAGTATGAAAATAATAATTCTAAATCCTTCTCGATACATACCCATCAAAATTATTACTAGTGCAATCATAAACATTGTCTTTATTGTTTTTCATTCGTAAAAACTCGTCACAATTATCGCATCCATCGTACTCAAACTGTTCAAAGCCCTAAAATATTTCATGATATAATATTATTAGAATATAAAAATTAATACAAGCATTTTTTGCACATACTTTAATAAGTGAACACACAAGGCAAGCGCGTAGGCCTCGCAAATCTTTTGGAATTGTTTCTAACGACATGTTTACTATTACTATCAATAGCCAATTAATGGAAAATTATCCTATAAATTATAAGATAAAATTCAACGCTATTATTGAAAATCTAACCGCAAAGCAAATCATCAACTTAATATGACAGCCATGACAGTTTATTATGACATATTCATATATTTTATGTGTTGGTATGTCCATCAACATAAGTCAGCAGCCAACATAAAGATTTATGCAAAAAAAAAACTAGCACCATCTAACGATGCGAGTACGCACCTTTATGTTTGTTTATCCATACATCTTTTATATTTGTATCATATTCAGCTCTTTTGAGAAATGTCAAACCAGTGCCAAACACGATTGAGGAAGTGAGTGAAGGAGTAAACGATTTGTAATGTGTTTTGCGGTTTATCTAGGGCCCCTTTGTAAAAGGGGCGCTATATAATTTTTATTGTTTAGTTTTATTCAAGATTTTTAAACTAACGACACATGTACATGTAAAATGAGTTACCACACATATTATTTCTTCTAAATATGTGAAACTAAAAAATAACGAACTAAAATGAAGTTCAATAAAAAAAGCCTCGAAGTAAGTATTATTAATGCACAACTGATGTAATTTACAGCGTTTACGCAAATTTAAATTTTGGTATATATTGAAGTATATATAATCTATATATATTTTTTTATATATAATTAGTTGTTTAGCTATGAATCAAATTAACATTCTTGATTTTAAACGATATTTCTTTTGTCAACATATTTGAAGTTTTGAATATAGCAAATTTATGTAAAATCTTTATTTGTATATTATTATAATATTATTATATTTATGTATTTATTTATTTTTAGGTATTTTTGATAATTATTACAGCATGTCTTTGCTATGGTTTTACCTTACAAGGAAATTTTGTTTTTGACGACTTTGAAGCTGTAGTAAACAATGATGATGTTAAATGGAATGATAGTATTATTAATATATTCAAACATGATTTTTGGGGAGCCAATATATCAAATCCTTTAAGCCATAAATCATATAGACCTTTAACAGTTTTTACATTCAGGTATTATTTTAAAATAAGAGATAATTATCAAAGTTGAAGTTTCACATGTATAATTTTTTTTTAATTATATTTACCAACAGCATTCTGAAAATAATGTTGTGATTCTGATGTTTATAAATTTCATGATGAGTTCATAAAATTTTGTTATCAATGTAATAAAGTAATATTAAAATAATTTCCAGGTTGAATAACTATTTTAGCGGAAGTTTGAATAGCACACATATGAAAATAACAAACTTTATCTTGTACCTTGTAGTATGCCTTCTTGTTTACTATGTATATAAACTTATAGCTGATGTTAACAGGTAAATTATTTAAATTTACACATACATATTGTCAATAAATATTAATAAATGTATGTTCAACTTTAATGCAGTATTCCATTTATAAGTGCAATTTTATTTGCATCTCATCCAATACATACTGAGGCTGTGAGTAGCATAGTAGGTCGTGCTGAATTGCTTTCATCATTTTTTTGCTGCATTGCTTTCATTTTATATAATAGAAGCATAGGTAATAATACAATCAATAGTCTAAGGTATATCTGAATAAAACGTGTTACTAATTTTTCATTCCTGTAATAGATGTCTGCAAAATTGGTGACATGCTTATGTATTGCATACTGAGTACCTTTTTCGTGATATTAAGTTTGTTGAGCAAAGAAAATGGTGTGATGATAATAGTAAGAAATTAATCATTTAATTCTATATGTATATTTTTATATTTCATAAAACTTTATTTGTTTCAGGTGGTTTGTTTGACTTATGACATACTAAACCAGTGGCAATCAAAGCAAAATTCTAATAAAAATGATGAATTTAGAAAAATCCGATTTGCATTACTAACATCATCTATGATTTTACTTATATTTTGGAGAATGCATATCATAAATTTTGAAACTCCTATATTTCAGAAAATGGATAATCACATTGCATTTTGTAATGACAAAATCTCAAAAGTAATTGCACAATTTTTAACACTTATGATTTTTTTTTGCTTGTTATATCATTTCTTTTATTTACAGATATTATCACAATTATATTTATATTCTTTAAATATATGGCTGCTGCTATGTCCAATTTGGTTGTGCTGTGATTGGTCTTTTGAATGTGTGCCTTTACTTACAATATGTGATATAAGAATTATTACCATTCCCGCTCCTTGGATAATTATTGGTCTTATAATTTATTATCAGAAAAGGTATTATTTTAAAGTAGCATCAGTTTTTTATATGATAGAATAGTATGTAATCTATTATTATTTTAGGTTTTTACTTAATGGACTTATATTTATGATCATTCCTTTCTTACCTGCAAGTGGTATTATTACTGTCGGTTTCGTTATTGCTGAAAGAGTCTTATTTATTCCATCAATTGGGTTCTGTTTGATGTTAGGATTTAGTATTCAGAATATTTCAAAGTATTTTTTTAAGGTAGGTGAAAAATTATCTGAAAGACACATTACTTTTGTTATATATTTTCTTTAAAATGTAGGTATATTTTAATTTATGATAATGTGTTATATATTTTTGTGATTAAATTTTCTTTGCTTTTTTAAAATGATACCCAAGCATGATAATTCAGAAATTATAAAATTTACATATTTTTCCAATATGTTATAGATAGTTCATAAAATCTAAATAAAGATAAGTTAAAAATAAAAATAATTAGTTATAGATTTTATTTATTTTTTATAATTTATGAAAAACCGATGAATAAGCTTATTAGCCTGTATCATATCTGTTGCCGATAGCTGATTTAATATTAAATAGTAAATTTATTTTGTAGACTGCAATCTTCTGCTATGTGGCCTTAATATGTTTATGGATTGTGCGAACAAATATGAGAGCTGCAGAATGGTCTAATAGCACAGTATTATTTGACAGTGGAGCAAAAGTTTGCCCACAAAACGCCAAAGTTAGTTTTTATAGAAAATAAATTGACAGTAATTTATTGACAAATAATCACTATAAATCTTTCAGATACATTACAATAGAGCTTTGACCGCATCTACGAATAATGATAACCATAAAGCAGAATTACTATATTTGGAGGCATTAAGGTAAACATCATTATATTAAATAGCTTATAATATTAACAAATATTTTCAATATAAATTCAGTTCACAAATTTTTGTTCAGTTAAATTGTCAGTCAATAGTCAATAGTTTAATATAATTTTTTAACCTAATTTAACATACATACATCTTGTTATATTTTCTATTTTTGTTCATACTTGAAATACAGTATTGATTGATTAATGATAGAATATAGTTTTCATTTGCATAAATTGGTTTGCAATATACAATTCCATATTAAATCAATTAATCATAAAATAGTGAACTTGTTTTATTTAGTTTCGAAATTGCAATAGTGTACATATAAAATTTCAGTTAGTAAAAAAGTACAAATGAAATTATATTCAAAAATAGTTGAAACATGAATGCACATTTTATTCCTTGCATACAAGTTCTATATGTTTAATGCGTAATTTTTTAAAATTATGTATATAAATAATTTATTAACAGTAATATTACTTTGATTTTAAAGAATTATGTTCTTTACAACAAAAAACTTATTTGATTTTATCTTGAAATGATTATATTCTTTTAATTTGACTCACACATTATGTGTTTTTTTTTCTAGGCAATATCCAGAGTATGAGCAGGCTTTAAATAATTTAGCAAATTTATTGCGAGATGCTAAACGATTTGAAGAAGCAGAATCATATCTACGAAAAGCAGTTCATATCAGGTAATAAATAATATTAGATCATGCAAATGTTATTGAATTTGCATGACATTATTTTTATTATCATTATAGGCCGTCATTTGGTGCTGCGTGGATGAATCTCGGAATAGTTTTGTCACAGTTAGGTGAATTTTTAGAAGCAGAACATTGTTACAAAAAATCATTGCATTATCGACCAAAACATGTAGATACCTTTTACAACCTTGGAAATTTGGTAAATTGAAATTTGCAAGAAACAGCATCTATAAATATTTAAAATAAATGTAGAATTTTTTAAGTATTTGAGCAATAAGCAATACAGAGAAGCAAAGAGTTCATGGCTACAAGCAACGAGAATAGATTCTTCACATGCAAAGTCGTGGATAAATTTAATTACGCTTTTAGATTCACAAGGTAAAAGTACAAATAAAAAGTCAGTGTTATAATTAATTTTTGTTCTAAGTTATTGAATTATTACTTATGATTTTCTTTCACAGGAAAAAATGAAGAAGTTAAAAAGTTGGCTTCTAGGGCATTGAATAAATTACCAAATGAGCCCGGTTTACATTTCTTGTTAGCTAATGCTTATGGGAAGTCAAATCAGTATGAAATGGCTGAATCTCATTTTAAATCGGCAATCAGTATTAAACATGATGCATTGTATTTTGCAAATTTAGGTAATATAAAATTACTTATATAATTTGTCAGGATAAAAGCTGCATTTAACTCATTTTCAGGGGTTCTATATCATAGGTGGAATAAGACAAATTTAGCTGAAACAATGTATAAAGAGGCATTGAAGATTAATCCAACATTAAAAAGTGCAAATGACAATTATAACAAATTATTGCATATCAAAAGTAGAAGGCAACATTAAAGTGTGTAATCAGATAAGACAGGTACTAAAAATTACTTTTTGCTCAAATATATTTCCTGGACTTATATTAACAATCATATATTTAATTCATTTAAGTGATTTTATTAGAAAGATTCAATAACATTATTTTGGTTTTGGTTTACAAGATTTCTTGATGTTGATTAATGATCTTATAAAGTAATATCAATCATCGGCGTCCTCGGCCACCACCTTTTCCACCTCGTTTTCCTTTTCCACCTTTATTTCCCTTCAATCGTTTGCGAACACCTTGTGCTTGTTCAGTATCATCATCACTTTGGTTGCCGCCGCCACCACCTTTGCGTTTTTTGCCTGATTGTTTTCGATCTTCTATATCTTTCAATTCCTTTGAATAGAAAATGATCAATTATTGTTACAAATATACAGATAGTACTGTACAAATCGTGAGATCTATATTTCATTTTGTTGTAAAAAAAAATTATATGTTAAGATTTTATATTTTTTTCTTCAAAATTTAAAAAATGAACGGCATGATTTTATGGTAACAATTGAGCTAAGTATTCAGCATAGCAATGAAAGCTTTTACAAACCATTCGTGAAGTCCTCTGTGCCTCACTAACTCTTTCTTGTAAGGCCATAACTTCCTCTTCTTCACATTTAAACAATGGTAGTTTTTTTCCAAGCAGTTGTTCAATTCGTTGATACAGTTCAACATCATACTGAAAATAGCAAGCACATTTAAGTTAGCATTATACTCTAAATAAAGTAAGGTAATATTAAATAGTTGGATATATTTTCAAATTTTTAACTTCCCGTAGGGCAAGTTATAGTAATCGCAAAAAAATCGAAATTGAAAATTTTTATATATCTTTACGTTTCAGAGGTTTCTGAACATTTTGGCATACCTTAGAAAAAATGGATGTATGTGTGTGTGTGTGTATGTATGTATGTATGTATGTGTGTGTATGTATGTGCGGATACAAATTTTTGTCGACGATTTCGGGAACACAGATCAACCGATTTGAATAATTCAAAAAACATTCGATCCGTATTGATAAGGAGACGTGCTGATTAGTTTTTGGCAAAGGCAGGTCAAGCCGTTCCGAAGATACGGGGCAAAAAGTTCCGAAAACGGTAACTCAGTTTTTAAGAGAACGGAGCGTCCGATTTTAATAATTCAAAAAACATTTTACTTGTATTGACAAGATGAAGAATCGATACAACTTTCATGAAGGAGATATAGAGATATAGAGGAAAAAGTAAAAAAATGAGCCATTTGGCGGTCAAAAATGATCATTAGACATATGCACATCAAATTATCAGACATTTTATAGAGATTTTAACAATAAGTATACATTTTGTTAACATTCCTATCGGTTCCGTACCAATGCTTATGCGTTAGACAGCGACGCGGCGCTTACGCGCTTTATATTTTGTCCCTATGTAGTTAAAGCAGTACGATTGCTTTGAAAAAAAAGTTCAGATCTTCCACAATATGTCAAAATAAAGAAAAAAAATTTATTGTTTCTCAAAAATCTTATTTTTTCAAAGTAATTTTTTTTCAAAAATGTTAATCGTTTTAAAAAAAAATAATAATTTTTGGTACGGGAAGTTCCAGCAATTTGCCTTAAGGCACGATGCCCTAATTGCCTTAAGACAGAATTCCACTTACAGCTAGTTTAAGTTTTAATTGGAAACTAATATTTCCATGATATTTTACCTGAGTAACAAAAGTTATTGACTTTCCAGCTCTACCAGCCCTTGCTGTTCTACCAACTCTGTGTATGTAATCCTTACTGTGCGTAGGAATGTCAAAATTCAGCACCACATCAACGTGGGGAATATCCAAACCTCTAAGGAAAAATAAAATTGGGATTAATGATTAACACAAAACAGTAAGGTTATTAAATATGGTTACTACCTTGATGCTACATCTGTTGATATCAGTATTGATCTCGATTTGGCTTTAAACTTATTTAGAGCAGCTAATCTTTTATTCTGTGACATCTGACCATGAAGAGGTACAGCAGCTAATCCTAATGATCTTAAGAGCAAAGCTGTTCTGACAGTATTATTGCATGTACTGCAAAATATCATAAAGCTATTTCCAGACAATTCATTGAGAATGTGAACCAAATACACATCTTTAAATTTTACTGGAATGAAAATATAATATTGCTGAAGTTTATCCACTGTTTGATATTTTGAAGATACTTCTACTTTCACTGGATCTTGCAGTGATGCCCTTTGTAGCTTATTTACTTTTTTAGTCATGGTTGCTGAGAATAAGAAAGTTCTACGTTCTTTTGGTATCACCTAAAAATTATATTTCATAAATATCTGAACAAAGTATGGGTTTATAAAAAATAACACATACCTTTAGAATTTTATTGACTTCTACTTCAAAATCCATATTCAATATTCTATCTGCTTCGTCCATTACCTGCAATTATTTTATCAGTAAGTACTTATTGTTGACTTATAATAATAATAACCAATTACCAAGAATTTAAGTGCTCGTAAACTAAATCCTTTAGTATTTTCTAAATGATCAACTAATCTGCCTGGTGTTGCAATTAAAATATGTGGCTTTTTAGCAAGTTGCAGTGCTTGGGATACCATATCCATTCCACCTACTATTACAACTGATTTAACACCTATACTGCTACCTAAAAGAGTAAGTAATTTATAATTTCATTATAATAATTGAGCATTTTAAGTTTACTGAAAATCTTACAAAATAAATTTTTAGTAACACTAAAAGTTTATAAATCTCAATATGACCTCAGATTGAATTCACTTTTAAATTGTTAATGTATTTTTTATAAATCTTACCCAAGGCTTCGAATTGTTCAGAAATTTGAAAAGCTAATTCTCTAGTAGGGGTCAATATTAGTGCGAAATAACGCTGTGGATTTTGCAACAAAGCTTGAAGAATTGGTAGAGCAAAGGCGGCTGTTTTTCCTGAACCCGTTTCAGCTAAACCAATTACATCACGTCCTTGTAGAGCTAGTGGTATAGCTTCTCTTTGAATTTTGGAAGGTACTTTCCACTTTAATTCTGTGCAAGCCTCGCACAATGAATCTACCAAACCCTGTTATAATAGATAAGATGATCAATAAATCATATCAATCTATTTTAAAATTTAATATTTATTAAATTACAAACCAAATCTTTCCATGATACTTCTTTTTCTGAATCACCATTCACGTTTTCAACGTCAATACTATTTTGACTAACCACATCATTTCCATTGGGCGCTTCATCTTCAGATTCTGACTGGTCATTATCAGACTCACTTTCTACTTCATTATCACTAGCTATACTGTTTTCTTCTTCAGACATTATAATGAAAATTTGTAAAGATGATTTTCTTTTAGCAACGTGATCCTAAAAACATAACCTTAACTGATCAAGTCAATCTGACAGTTTACGACAATTCGCAAAAATACTCGAATCTAATTTATTTTTGTAATTCCTATTCGTTAAAATCTTTATATATTTCACATGCACCTTCCCGAAAGTTTTATATATGTTTATTTAAAATTTACTAGTTCATATTCGTATTTCACAAAACACGTGTTATTTTTCGAGGTTTGACAAAAACAAAACACGAGGCCCTCTAATGTAGAAGGTTAATAACAGTATATATCGATATATTTAGATAAGTTTTGTCGGATCGTCGGATCCGTATAAGAGAATTGTAAAGCTCTATGCTTTTAACACACAACATCGTTTTCCTCACCCAACAGTCGGATATGAGTCGTGTGGTTGGATTAGAATGTATAAATTTATAATTTGCGTTTAGGCCATTACGCGTTTACATCCACAGGATTTTATTGTCCTGAATGACAATAAAAATATTGCGATTGCAATCATTACAATTATCGAATGTTTTGCAAGAATACGGAGTCGTATGCCGACTGATGGCTTTTCCGTTTTCAAAGATATTAGATTTAATTATTTTTAGTTAAATTATAGACTTTAAGCCTACTCAATAATATAATTACTTTTTCTTTTAAGTGCCTAAACGAGATAAACCTAAATTAATGAACCTGAATATGAAGTATAGTGTGCTTTTATTTTTATTAACACATTCAGTTGTCGTATGTCATCATCCAAGATCATACAAGATCATCAACTGGTCAGAGCAGATCAATAAGCGGTTTATAAGGTAAATATTACAGGATTATAACTAGCTGTAAGTGGAATTCTGTCTTAAGGCAATTAGGGCATCGTGCCTTAAGGCAAATTGCTGGAACTTCCCGTACCAAAAATTATTATTTTTTTTAAAAACGATTAACATTTTTGAAAAAAAATTACTTCGAAAAAATAAGATTTTTGAGAAACTCTAATTTGACAAAAAATTACTTATATTGAAAAAAAAAATTGAAAAAAAAAAATTTTTTTTAATTTTTTTTTTGTTTTGAAAAACTAACATAAAAAAGTATTGTAACAAAAGTAAAATTTGTATAGTCCCACCACAGTGCTCGTGAATGATAAATTATTTTTTCTAATAAATAACATAACAGGCAAACTATTTTAGTTAAAAAAAATCTAGTACTTACGCAAAAGATTTAAAATTAGCGAATCCAATTTTCAGTTGAAAGTAATGAACTTTTAGAAAGTTATTCGATTTTATTGTAATATGCTATAGCATATATTTATTAACTTCCTGAAGGAGTTTTTATGTTTTCATAAAAAAATCCGATTCGCTAATTTTATGTCTCGACGTTTCAACCCATTCTGAATCGAATGAGACCAATTTTAAAAAAAGTATGTGTGTGTGAACAGATTTTTTTAAGGGGGTCTTCCTATGTGACGGCCTGTTTTTTAGGGATATTTTAGGATTTTTTTTTTCTACGACCAGTAAATATTTAGAGCTTCAAGTTTTTTATCATTTCAGCTAAAAATATTCAGTCAAACTAGAGTTACAGCGCTCTGAACACCCCCGCCTCGAAAACAAGAGCTCCCACTTCCTCCACGATTCCGGCTGATCGGCTTATCAGAAAAAAAAAATAAACGGCGTTTTAATTTGTAGGCTTACAAGCACGGAATGACCTATAATCAAATGAATATAAAAAAAATTGGATTTTTGATAGACATTTGAAATAAAAGTTGCAAATTAGGCGTTTTTTTGTTATTTGCTATAAAAAAATCGAAGTTTTTTTCGAAAAATTTTAAATTGATAATAGTTCATTCCATGTGTTTAAATATATTGAGTGTGCCCTGTAAATTTCAAGTAATTCGGTCCAGCCGTTTCTGAGATACAATGGAGGAAAGTTTGAAAAACACAGTTTTGAGAAAAACGCGTTTAAAGTTTCTAACTGCTAACTCAGCGCTCGGAACCGCTCTTTCTTTTACCTGCTGTATTTTTAAAACGACTTCGAATTTTCTAAAATCGCTTTACTACCGTATTTTCTAGACATGTTAAGGGAGCAATTTATGAAAAAAAAAATCGATTTTTTTAACCCATCACATAGGAAGACCCCCTTAAATGGTTTTTGCGAATATTTTACAATTACATAAAAATGACAGCAAACTCCAATTTTTTATTGTTACCGAAAATTAGATTTAATTTTTTCGCACTGGGCATGTTAGGCGTAATTTTCTTTATAGATATTGTTAATGTTGTTGTCGAAATTGATTATTATTCAGAATTCACTTTTGTTGATTAGTCTTAAAATTTTTACAAGGACATGCGAGTTTTATGCAGATTATTCCTTTCTTATTAAAATTAGCATGATTTATGGTATAGTTAGAATTATTTAGCTAATATAAGCAATTATATATAATTGGTTTAGGTATACCTAAACCAACACGTAATTATTAATTCAATGCGTATATATTAAGTCAGCTAAAAATTATTCAGCAAGAAACTAGGATCAGCTAGTACCATACCATTTCAGCTCATACCATTTTGACGCAATCAGACAATTACTTTATGATGTGAGTTATAGCATTTTATGTGAAGCAACTTTGTGTTTTTGAAATTATGGAAAAATCAAACATAGACGTAAATGCTTGCTCACATATTTGTTGAAATAATATTTAACACTAACTACCATGACGGGTCAAATGACCCATTTTGAACTTTTGCATTGAAAATGCACGTATAATTTCATTGCGTTTGCACATTTGACTTCATGACTTTTTTTAAGTAATTAAAGTATAGTTATAAACAAAATTTTTTTTTTGTTTTGTTTTGTTTATTCTGAGTAATCCTTCTTGTATACCGATATCTACACAATGGGTCATTTGACCCGGAGAGAATTTTTTTGGTTTATGAGATTGTCAGTCATATTTGTAGTCAGTAAGTTGCACATTCTTCTAAATACTGTTGCGTAAAGTAGTTCAACGAAAATAGCTCAGAATAATTTCAAGAAAATATCAAATTTTAGATTGAAAATAGCTTTTTATTGTTAGAAAAAGTGGCAGAAATTGAAAGTCTTGGTAAGTACCTAGTTTATATTTTATTTTGATAGCTATAGTGATACAGGTTATTTTTTACCCAGAAAATGTCGAAGCAAACAAGACATTACGAGTTCTTAGAAGATAGAAATAATATTGGCGAAGAGTTTTCAGAAATTCCGTGAAGATGAATTTTCTGAAAATAAAGATATATTGGTTGAAAATAAAAAATGAGTTTGATTCAACAGATACCGACGATAAGAAAACAATGATAAACGTTTACCTGAACCAGTTTCATATTACAATAAAACCAAATTTGGTGTAGACATGACCGATCAAATGGCGAGGAAAATTACTACAAAATCCAAGTCTTGCACATGGTCTCTCCAAGTTTTTTTCAATATCCTTGATTTAGCTGGCATAAATGCCTGGATTTTGTACAAGCAAACGACAGGAGAAAATATCTCGCGACAAAATTTTTTACTCAGGCTAGCAAAAACACTTGGCGCCGATTTTCGAAACAAATACGAAAGTATCGTTGCCTAAGTCTACTACAGATGCTTATAACGTATGAGATGTCAAATAGGATACTGTAAAAAAATAAAACCAACAAATTTGCTTTAAATGTAAAAAACATGTTTGCGGAAAATGTACAATGGATAAAATTATATGTAAAAAATGCGATTAACTATGAATTAAAATTTCTTATTTTTGCTTTTGTAATAGAAATGCTCAACATACTTGTTTGTTTAATTATAATAAATTTAATTTTTATTTTTATTTTCTTCCTAACATCCATATTTCATACATTAAAGCATGAAACATAGAGTCGGGTCATTTGACCCGCTATGGTAGAATTAGGTATATATTAAGTCTTGGTATGATTAGTGTTAATAAACTTCCATATATACATCCCAGTTTGACTTTTCTTCAATGAACAAAACACTCAAATTATTTGAGAGAGACAAAAATCACACCCAATGAACAAAATACTGGATTAATAGCTAGTGCTTGTTAGATAAAAACTTTTTTTTAATTCTTCACTATCTGAAAATTAATCCATGTAATACCTAATAATAATTAGTGCTCTGCTCGAATAGTGTGAGAGCACATTTCCCTTTTCTTCCCTCGTTATTATTATTGTTATTATTATTAGATTATTAAGTGGCATCCACACCTAGCGAACGAGCACGAACGAACATGGCGTTTGATATGCGCCCAACCCAGTTTCTCTTCCTTTTCATGATTGTGCTTACAAAGTATTTTTTTCCACTCTCCTCACTTCTGGACTTCTGCATTTTTTATTTATCTGTCTACTTTATCTTAGTACCACATACTAAAGCCTTTCAAATAGTTTTCATCAGCCTTATTTAGAGTCCATGTTTCTGATCCGTAATTAGCAATGTTTCAAGTATACCCTTTATATATATGTACATATATAGTGACATTATTATAATTATAAAATAAAACTAGTTGAAAGTGGCATTTACCCTTAAGGAAAGTTGCATGAACTTCCCGAAATTTGTAAAAATTAACTTTATCAATCGAAATTGAAATTTAGATAAAATTTTCAACTGTTTATTTCTAAAATAAAGTTATCGCTTTCAATTAAATCTAAACATTGCGATTTCGAAAAGAAATTTCTCAAGCACATTTAAATTAACTGTAACTATATTAATTATATTGCACAGACACGTGCTTGTTTGCCCTAAAATTGTAGCTTATTATTTTAAATTTTGATGAATTGATAATTATCAATTATAATTGACTTATCACATCACAAAAGGACACAAATTTTAACTATAATATTTTCTCAAACTTTGATGAATTTTTAACATTAAACTATTTGTCGTAGAGCCGTAACACTTTAGTATGTTTTATAAGACCATGATATCTATTGCCAAAAAACGTTCATAAAAATCGCTAAAAATTTTTTTTCAACCGTTAATTTCAAGACAACGGCTCGGTAGACTAATCAGTATCATTTCCAACCAATATTTTTCTAAAAGTTTTTCATTTTTTAAAATCAATTGAAATGAAAACTGAAGATTGAAGACTGAAAACTGTTTTCATAATCTCTCATCATACCAGGCGCTTCTATCTGTCTGAGATATGAAAATAATGTATATATATAAATAAATAAATAAATAAATAAATAAATTCAGAATTGAGAGCTAAAACGTGGACGAAGAATTTTCCACTTTTTTGCTATTTACAAAAACAGGTATAAGCCGATCGTCGCACAAAACTGATAAAAGATAATCCACATTGAAATACATCGATTAGCTTTTAAAAATCGTTTCAGGCGTTCTCAAGCAATCATTGATGAAAGTTTTAATTTTGACAAACGCCAAAAACGATACTAATTTTTGCAAACTTTGATGAATTTTTAAAATTAAACGACTTGTCGTAGGGCCGTAATATTTAAGTATGAACTATAAGACTAATCTACCGTCAAAAAAAAATCATGAAAATCGTCGAAAAATTTTTTTTAACACTTATCACAAGAAAACTTCCTGGCCGATCTTTACCAAAGATTAATCAGGTCGATTCCCAACTAATATTTTTCGAACGGTTTTGAATGTTGAAAATTGATTCAGAATTGCGGGCTAAAACGTGGACGAAAATTTTTCAGCTATTTACAAAGAAACGGCTTGGCTGATTATCTTTTAAATGGCTTTTAAATTTTTGAAATCTATCCAATCGTTTTTGAGAAAAGTTGATTTACGTAAAAAAATCTGTTCACATACACACATACATATACTTTTTCCAAAATTGGTCTCATTCGAGTCGAGAAAACATAAAATTAGCGAATTGGATTTTTTGATGAAAACATAAACTTCTGTGGGAAGTTAATAAAATATTATATTTTTATTATTATTTATTTATAAATTGTACTCAATAACAGTACAATTAAAAATAGTATTTTTACAAATTCTATTTAAATTTTACACATATGTTGATTGCAAATAACTTACTGTTTGTCAGAAATTGCCTTTGTTAATAATATCCCAAAAATACTACGAATAACAATATACATATTAAAGCAATTTTATGATGAACCAATATTATCTATTAATTTGGTTTTAAACAGTCTTAGAAAGTTTGTCTCAGGCGATACTTGTGTTGAATATCATATTGTATTGGTAAAAAATTCTGTTATTTAACATATGTTAAATAATTATATAATAATTATTTTACAGCAATGACCTTCAGCACTTGTACAAACTAGGAAATAGTTGTTCAGTTGGCTCAATATAACAATATGTACTAATGACCATTATATATTTGTTTATGAGATAACTATATTATTTATTATGTAATTAACTTATTTTTAAAATATTTAAATATAAGCATTTATGACTGCTCACATAATGATAAATACTTTTTATTACACTTTTTGCATTTAGAACATGGTTGTCCAATCGCATACGTTGGTGCCTCTAAAAGATTTCCTTCGGAATAATTGCATGCCATTAGCAGCGCATGGACCAAACCGAATTCTGGGTGAGGTTGCAGGAAGAAGGATACCGCGCAGCCCATGTGAGTAGCCTCATCGCGAACCAATTGGGTGAAATGACCTCTTTGGATGCTATTAGATAAATAAAATTAAATTAAAAATACGAAATAATACAACAAATCAGAAAATGACAATAAGCTATAGATTTACAACTATTAGTGTTAATTAATTTAGTGGTTTCCAACCTTGTTGTACCTGCGTCCCTCGTTTCTTTAAATTTATTGTTACACTTTCTTCACATAAGATTTTTTTCACACCCAATTTGATTTTTTGTTTGTATTCGTGAATAGTATTTTGAAAACAATAACCACTCTTACAACAGTACAACATATGGGATATCACGAAAATACTTTAATTTTAATTTAACCAGTTAACTGATTGACGAGTAAACTTGACATGAAAAAGTGACAGAATTTTGTATATTGACGTGTACAGTCGTCATGCATATAATATTTAACCATTTTGACTATTTATATTGCAAATTTTGAAAAATGAAACAAACACACTTTGTAATTTAAGATATTTACAATATTGTATGCCCATACAATTTGTACGAGCATTTAATAAAAGCTCGTACTTATGTCATTTTATCTCAAAACATACTTTTCTGACGATTCTGAACTGTACGTACAGCGCACCATGGTTAACTGGTTAATTTAACTTTGACGTATTTTAATTAAACCGTTTTTTAATTTTTGTTAAATTTGATACCGTAGGGCAAAAATACCGAGGACAATCACACTTCACTCAATAAGTTCGTGGCAATAAGTCCACTCAATAACTAAGAAAAACTCATAATTTTGGCAATTTTTTTTTTTTTTATTCAATATAGTTTTCTTCGAAGACGATATACCAATTATAGCGAACTTCGAACATTTCGAAACCATTTTTGTAGTACAATTTGTACTTAGTCACAAAATTCGTTTATCGTCTCATCATTTGGCAAATATTTCTTCAGAGCGAACATCCTTTTGAGATCTGAGAACAGGATATGGTCCCTGGGAAACGGATCTACAGAATATAGTTAGTGGGAAAGCAACTCGGAACCTAATTCATGTTATTTTTGGCGACTGTTTTCGCGGATTTGTGAATTGGTGCTTTGTTCTGATGGAGCAGCACGGTTTTCCTTTTCAAATGGGGCGGTTTTTTCGAGTTTGATCTTCAAATGTTCTAATAACATTATACAATAGTTACTGTTGATAGTTTGGCCCTTTTCAAGATAGTTGATGAATATAATTTTCTGTGTATCCCAAAAAACTGACGCCATAACCTTGCCAACTGATTGGTTACATTTTTTCTCGTCATCGCGTCGGGTACACTCGGTTGATTGTCTATTCGACTTTGGAATGTAGTGTTGAAGCCAGGCCATATTCATGGTAACATATTGATGCAAAACTTCAGTTTTGTTCTGATTAAACAGTTCCAAATACTCTTACGATCATCAACTCGTTATGCTTTTGGTCAATTGTGAGTTTGCGCGGCACCCATTTAGCACAGAGGTTTTTCCTATTCAAATATTTATGAACGATGTGTCCATCACCTACTATTGATATCTTTAGGGTGTTAGCTCTCTCAGGCAATTTTACTTTCCGGTTCTCCAAAACGTTTCGGTAGATCTTTTTTATATTCTCCGGTGTAACCACCTGAATTGGCCTTCCGGAGTGTTCAAGCATTGTCAGTGTCTGTTAGGCCACGATTAAAATCAGCAAACAACTTCTTCACCATCTACCTCGATTTGGAACAATCTAGATAACACTTATCAAGCGATACTTTGGCAGCAGCAGCAATGGTACTTTTACCCATCAAAAATCAATGATAAATCAAACCACGAAATTTCTTTGAATTCATGATTTCGAAAAACTCAAAAATAGCATCACTTGAACCTTTGTAACTTGTAAACTAATCGTTCGATTGTCATGAAATTTTGACATATATTTTTTTTAGAGTTGTTGCTTCCTAAAAATCATATGGATGATTACATAGCTACATCTTTTATGTGTTATCATACGGACTTATTGAGTGGCGTTATAATTTTATGGTTAATTAAAATGGATATCATACCCATCTTCAATATTGTGGTAGCTTTGTAGAAGTGAAAGCTCGCAATCTGCCACTTCATCATACCATCGTCTGATGATGTCAACTAACAGTGGGTCAGTAACTTGAAAATAATCCAGCGATGTTGACCAAACGCTTCCTAAATTTTGTCCTGCATGCGGAAATTTATCTGAAAAGAAGATAACATTTCAAAAATGCTAGTAGTAAAATAGTAACAACTACATATTAACTAGTAGTAATTAGTAACAAACTTCATAATACGAATTATGTCGTTATACGAATGTAATAATTTTATTGTATTGATTCAAAAACACAAACATTAGGTAAAATTATCTAGTTTGTTTTAGCTATATAGAAATAATAGTGATTATTCTTTGTAGTCGCAAGCACTTATTAGGGGCAATGTCATAAAATCGAGAAGGATCATCGAACAATAAGACAGCAAATGGCTTTGGCTTATTAAGTGGTGCTTTGGCATTTATCTGTGGACGTGTTTTATGACATAAATGATAAATCGAACTTAAACTTTTTGTAAGATTTATGTCTCGTTCATCTTTACAGAGGAACGTTTAAGATTGTTGCAACTCAAACGTTAAACTAGTGATATCTCAAATGTTTTGGAAAAAAACGTATTTACCCTAGACAATTTGTAGATTTTAATATTATAAATGGGAACAAAATTATCTTCTTTTTCTGCCAAAGCATATTAAAGCATTTTTCTTAATCCTTTTGCTACAAGGACTACCTGTTTATACGGGCCTCCACATGACTAGCTTATACATTTTGCTTCAAAAAATCTTTTGCTTTAGAAGAGTAATATTTAATTTTTAAATACATTTTGATTCAAATGATTGTAAAATCTGAAAATACATTGTTGTGCCTGAGCCGAAAAGACTCTCGTAATGAAAGGGTTAATAAAGAGGTTTACCATTCAAAACACTAATAGGGAATCAGTGGGCCCAAAGGCAAACACTTTTCTTACTATGGGCAGAATACTTACAATTAGTTAATTTTTCAAGTTAAAGTTACGGCAGATGACGAGATAAGTGTAATATTTTCATAACAGCATTAAATTATAATCAGACATTGAGTGTCTCTCATGAGAGCCGTAAAAGTATTTTCGTACAAGTGCACTAGTTTTAACGTACACTAATGATTTTCTTTTATTTTCTAATAAATAATAGATTATATCAATATTTTTTATATTACGTTAATTGCTGTTCAGAGATTTCTTTATCAATTTAGTGCGTTAATATACGTACTTATATTTCTACATATTGTTGATTTTATATGTCATTGGGTTGTTTCCATGTCGAATAATGTTATCTGATATTCTAGATTAAAACATTTTTATTACTATAATAATTTAATGTTTCTCGTTTATTTTTTTAATATTATAATCCTTGATATAAAACACACACACACACTCACATATATATATATATATATATATATATATTTATATAAAAAATATATAATATATATGGATATATATATATATAATAAATATATATATATATATATATATATATTATTTTTTCATATTTTAAATGAATTAATTTGTCAAAATATTGTTTATATATGTATCATTCAATCTACGATCAAATTACTAAATATTTCATATCCAATGCTAAACAAAAGAAATTTTGACACAATAAAACTTCTAAATAATTTTTTGAATAAGTAAATTTATTTTTTACATTGTGAAATAATTTAGTAAAGTATGGCAAAACACGGCATGCATGAGTTTAAAAAATTAATATGTCAAACTTAATTATATAATTAATCTGCCAAACACATATACTGTATCTTATTTTAATTTTTGACACGTCTCAGCTGCTTTTCGGCAATAATAATGTAGACATTACATTTTTCTTATTCATAATCATGAATTTATTATATTCTAATATTGTCTAGGCTCATAAGTTTCAATGTCAAACAATAACATGTCGTTTTTTGCATTTTTACTATTCATTTTCACAATATTACTATATTTTTATAATCATATACACCCTAAAAAATTCCCTTAACACACTTCAGAAAGATTTATCAAAATCTGAATAATCGTTTAAGAGGAGTATCTCGACTTACATCCGTACAGAAGAATTTTATATATAAGATAAGGTGTGCCAAAACTTAAAAAAAAGTCCTTTAAAAAGTTTTGAAATTAATATGCGCAAATTTCTAATGGAACTTGCCAAGGGACCAGTGTGCTTCTTTAAAGCTTCTTTAAAGCGAATTTTTAACTTCGGTCCTAGAATGTTTTTTGTTCATGTTTTGGCCAAAAATCTTAAACTGTTTTTAAACATTTACACAAATTGTTCTAAATATGTCAGTTGGTAATCGTGCTGAATGTTTCTAAAAATCGGCTGACCCGACGAATATTGATTGAATTTGATTGAGTATGCTAAAATAATATTGGCCTACGACAAGTGATTTGAATCCATGAAATTTGATTTGATTTGATTTCATGAAATTCAAATCCTCATTACGGTTTGGAATATTGGACCGTCACAAAATTTCAAAAAAATATTTTTTCACAAAATATTATCGTCGCAATTTAATAAGTTGCTTCAAATTCATAATCATTAAATAGATTATTTACACATATCGGACAGTTTTTGCAACTTGCCTTAACTATTGTTTATTACGGTTTTTGAAAATAATAATTTTAATAGAATGCCGCGTTAATAACCGATTGCTGCATGGCTTTATCCATCCCCTGTAGTTCAAAATACATATAGCAAAATTAATAAAATTGGAAATTTTATATATGAATGAAATAAAAAAATTGATACTTAAAGTCAGATATTCATGACCAGAGTAGTACTGAATTATGAAATATATAAATTATTTTTTTAATTCGATCATATTTTTTCAATTTCTCTTGGGTGCATATCAATGAATATAAAAAGAATTATGCAAGAATCAAAAGAATTGCTGTAGCAAATCAATTACAATAAGTTTTTCTCAGTCAGTGAATTGAGTAGAAAATATAGACTTTATTCTCATGATTAAATTAGCTTTATCTCATTTTTATTTGTATAATATATATTTGTATATATATATATATATATATATATATATATATATATTGTGTATATGTGAAAATGATTAAATTTCAATAACTTCAATTGTATTACCTGTCCTGGCACAATCATGTCGCATGATACAGCTCATCACGTTCAATTGCGCAAGGTATGCAAGTTCATCATCCCATATCTGTCATTAAAAAACAATAAATATTTTATCATATGAGATCAATAAACGGATTAATTGAATTGCTATTCTTTAATAAAATGCCGATATTCATATTCTAGAAATACCATATATCAAACAGGAAAGCAAATCCGCAAGATAAAATCTTTGATAATTTTCGAGCCGGTTTCTTATAAGTAATTATTTGATTGATCCAATAGATTAATATTTCACTTAATTGTAAGTAGCCGTAACACTCAAACACGTGTCTGGTGGCCCGAATTTATTTTCGGTACGATAATAATTATCAAAACAGAGATCGATAATCATAATCAAATATATGCCATCGAAGATTTCATTATGAATCGGCAGACGCGCGTGCTTATATATTGTGATTGTATTTATCATATGTCAGTACCTGATAAGGTTACCTGGAACAATACTATGATAGCGTATGCAAATCCACCCTTCTCTCTATTTGATCGTCATATTTTATTGTATTTTATTATTACTGAAAAATAATTAAAAGGGTCCCTAATCATCCCATAAATGGCTATTAGCATTAGCACTAAAGTTTCTAACTTTTCTTATTTATATCAGATGATATATTTTCTATGCTGTGATATCAGATTTTCACTGGAGATTCTAGATCTCAAA